ACCTGCCAGCACTGCCCCAAGCAATAGCAGAGGTCAGAAAGGAAGATGCCCTCCTGGCCCCAGAGCCCATGCAGACATGCTGGGAAAGCACTCAAGGCAGTTTGGTGGTGGGATGCTCAAGGGACTGGAATGGGAAGGAGGTCGCTGGGAAGGAAGTGGGAGGTGATGGAAGGTGACGGGGACCTCTGTGCACCCAGGGCTCCCTCCTGTCCTTGGCATGAGGCAAAGCATGGCAGGGCACCGGCAGGGAAACCTTACCCATGGCCAGCCCCCCACCCACCAGAAACCAGAACCTGAAGGGCAAAGAGGATTTCTGAGCAGAGATGTTTTAAAGAACTTTCCAAGGTTTCCAAAAAACAAACCAGCAGAATCATCAGAGGTAGAAACAGAGCGTTTCTCAACAAGAGCTCTGAGAAGTGGAACAGTGAGGCCCAAGTCTCCTCCTTACCTTGGGGTTGTTTGCCCTTCAGTTTTGGCTCACAGTCAATTGTTTCTGCTCTTTCATAGACCTCATTGGTTTCCTGACCTTTGCTCAAGTTTAAATCTTCCTCCGTGTCCTGCCTTCCAAACACCTGGTTCTCCAAGTCTATCCTTTCCCTGGAGATTTTCCCAAAATAGGTTGCATTGTGCTGAATAAAGCCCAATGGCACGTCTCCATCAAACTCTCTGCTTTCTTCGCTGTCTGACTCAGAGAAGGTGTAGTAGATGGGCTGCAGATTTTTTGAGTGTGGCTTCCTCAGGAGGGTGTATTCAAACGTGATGGATGGATTCTTGCCATTTTGATTCCAGACCTAGCAAACAAATTAAATTATTAGCAGATGCAGGGAGTACATGGCATGCAAAGCTTGTGATTCATCTTGGACTTGACAGTTGGTGAGCATCTACTTTGCTATTTCCAATCTGCTCTCCATCATATTGCCAACTTCTTACAACTGGAGCCCAACACTGTTTTCCGAGGGTTATTTGGCAACACTGCTCTGGGGATTAGCCCCAACTCAGAGACTGGGAGCCGCAGGTCACACTCCCTCTTCTGCTGCTGTGCAACCAGAGACTTGGGAGAGCCACTTCAGAAGTTACTGGCCATCCCTTACAAACCCTTTTTTGCAGCTTTATGGTGAATGAGGATCACGCACACACACCCCCTTCAGCTACTACATCCCCACTGCAGATGGGGACTCACAACTGATACACTACAACATCTTTTACTGGTCAGTGCTCTATAAGCACCCAAGCAGCCACCCTCTTCCCCTTCCAGAGGAATCCAGAGCTACTTGGAAGATGGCAGGAGTTGGGCTCTGGCTGGCTGCCCAGAAGAATAATTAAATGACTTTTCTTCATATGCCTGGTGTTAGATAGTTTGCTTTCAAGGAAGAGTTGGGGTTTAAGTTTTGTGCCCTTCTCTAAGCTATCTGGCCCGATTTCTTATTTTTACTTTTCCTGTCAGGTGACTTGGATAAAAACACTAAGAAGTAGAAAAGAAACCCTGCAGTGCCTGAGGCATCTTCCCTCTGCAGAGAGAGGGGTTACCAAGCCCACGTTCATTATTCACAGCCCTGCCTACATCCAAGAGCACTGACACGAATAAAATAGGTTCGTGAAAAGAACTGGGCACAGTCATCGCTCCCACTCCCCTCCTCAAGCTGCCCTGCAAAGCTGAGAAATCACGGCAGGACTCTGGTCCCACACCCACCCCTTCTGCAATCCAACACAGTTTCTCCCTTCCCCATCACCCTCAGCCCTGCAAACTTGAAAAGTCAAAGCTCACCATTATATTCAACCCTTGATTTGTTGGTCCCTGTGCGACAATATACTCTATGCCAGTCTCGTAAACATCCATGGGCCTGCGGTACTTGAACACCGTGCCTGCAATGTTGAAGTTCTTCGGACTGTCAACTTTGTAGTTCCCATTGAAGAAATAGTAGCCAGCTTCATCAGCCACAGCTTCAAACGAGAGGAAAAAAAACACTGCCATCACATGTAAGAGCAGAAATATGCAGTGTTGCCAATTGTTCGTTCAGGGGAAAAGATTATTAGGGTGTCATAGTAATAAAATAAGTGCTTCTCCTACATTGCAAAGCATTTGTCACTCATTTCCAACACACATCATACGGGTACACGCCCCAAGTTCTGGGCCATGGTCCCTTTACACTGCAAGCTCGTGAGCATAAGGGCACGTGGCTTACACGAGTCCATGGCTCCTCTTCCTCTCACCCTTTTGGCACTAGCACAGCATAACCATTAAATAATCACAGCTCCACAGACGATAAGCAGACCATCAGATGGTTGACAGCAGGAGTTGCCTCTTTGGTAGCACTGAGCTGATGCCACCTGACCCAGCAGTGGCCCATGACAGGTCGTCCTGAGCCAGCCCAGGAGCTGTACTAAATCAAGCCTTTCTCATTCAAGCTGACCTGCACATGGCTATGAGCCTCTGAGGCAGCATCAGAGCGTGACAGTGGCAAATGCACATCTGTTGGGCAAGTCCAGGTTTTTCCACACTCCTCCTGAGCAGCTTTGCCATCTCCAATGTGGAAATCAATCACATGCCACCAACACTTCAGCAAGGCAACACGTAGGTCACGCCTCCTTGGTGCTGTTGTCATGCGGCCATTGCACATTCCCCAAGCGGGAGCAGACCAAGGGGGATCACAAGAGAGGTGAAGTCACTTGGCTGTCTAGGATCTGGCACCAGTGTATTTGTCATACAACGCTGAAGAATCATCAATATTGACCAACAGTTGTTGCATTAAAGCAATCAAATCATTGATATATACAGCCCAGGTGCTCAGACTGCAGTGAGGAGAAACACACTGGCTTCAACAACGCGGTTGTGATTTACATCGACTACGGATTTAGCTCATGTCTGCAATAAAACTACGTTCAGCTTCGCATTGGAAAAAGCATTAGCTAGTATAGGCATGCATTGTAGGGAAGTACCAAGAGGTTATACACACCCAGAACATCTGCAGATTTTTTCCGTTCTACTATCTGGATATCCCTTGCTCCAGCAGGAAAAAAAAAAAGCCTACAGGAAACTACAGATTAATGAAAGGAACTTTGTAACGAATAATCTGAATGAAACACTCACTAGTCAATACTGCAATATATCAAGCAAATTGGCCTTGATCCAAAATTATTTTCAAGGAGTTGCAGATTAGAAAATCTAACGTTGATAATCGTTGGGTTGCAAACAGACCTTATCGATAATAGAAAATAAAAATTGTGTGAACTGTGCATCCTGGTTTATGGTGGGAAAACGCAGCCAAGGGGAAAAAAAAAGATGCAGTATTTACATGCACAAGCATCAAGTTTAGTTAAACTGGTATAAGAAAAGCTATCAGAAGACTTTGTTAGCTAGAGAAGCAGTCCTGTGGTTCAGTATTGATCACTGTGCTAGCTCGTCTTCCCAAAATCCCAGTGAGAGATGACAACTTGGTCCTGCTCCCAATTCCCTTCGCTCAGCACTAGGTGAGCGATGGGGCAAGTACTCCTAAGGCCACTGAAGTTCCTGCAGCATGCTCCATCTTAAACTGATCCTCAGAGAGTGTTCACCATTTATTCCCGAGTTAGATCGATATATTTAGGACAAGTAGGTTCTGTTGCTTTACATCACCCTAATTTTGGAAATCCTGGTCTTTCAAAATACTCTCGCTTCCTGTTATTACAAATCATTTATTTCTCATGGGTCATAAGAAAAATAGACGCCAGCCTCTTGCATAACCCTTTTGCACTGTTCAGCCTCAGAGACCTCACGCTTCTGACAAGCACCATGCACAGTTACTGTTTTTCTTTAAAGAAGGCTTTCCCTGCCCAGGTTTACAAGTGGCATTAACATACAGAGAACATGGGAAAAACTGAAGCAGGGCAGTTGGTAAGAGCTGACAGCAGTTTATCAAAAAATAAATATATTTTTTAAAATAGCTCTCTGATACAAATAAAGCAGAAAGGTCCCCAAAAGCCTTACCAAGATGAGAGTTTCCTTTCCGGTAACTGCCGGTCACATGAGTGCAGCTGCTCCCATCTCCTTGGCAAACTCCACATTTATCCAAGGTGTGGGTGGAAAAGAGAATGCCATCGCATCCAATCGGCTAAAAAACGCACAAATAGAGCATTGAGGGTCAGGCAAACGTCGCACCCATCGTAATTTTCTGAATGCTACTAACAATATTTTTGCTATAATGTTTAACAACCTCACATTTTCCAGACACGCAAACCCCTCGGAAATCAGTGTATTTGCAGGATGTTCCATCCCGAGCCTGAACCATTAACTGTCTCTGACCATCCACAGTGGTGCAATGGAGGTCACAGGGCTTGCTAGAAATGTGAACATAGTCATCTAAGGGGAAAGGATATAAAGATATATTCAAAACAGCAGAAACACAATAAACTTACATCCTACCAATGTCAACGAATCTCTGCCAAGCTAAACAACAGCAGCAACAGCACAATTGTGCAGCAGCCAGCCGTTCAGAAGCTGCCATCTCTTGTGCTTCAGGCCGGACAGGAGATTGCACTTCTGACAGCGTGACAGCCCACCGCTGCAAACCTTTGCACAGCCAGGCAGTCCCCTCTGCGGCCAGGGGCAGATGCACCCTGTGATGCCAGTGCTAGTGCCAACATCAGCCCGGGGGACGCACGGCAGCAGTTACAGCCACTATCCTGTGCAAGGACTTGCAGCAGTGGTATCTGTACACATCACACCAAACCATATGCATGTTCACGTATCAACATTCAATACATGAGTTAAATTAGCATAGATATACTGTTATAAATACATATACAAGTAAGACTATAAAAACCACAGCAGCTTAAAACATAAGAACTTTTCAACAAACATTCACCCAAGTTGGGCTTGAATTCACCCTGCAGGCACCTGGCTGGCTGCATCCACTGGCACAGTAGTCCCACATTTTATAATATCCAAACGAAAAATTCATATTTGCACCAGAAACCCAATGCTAAGTGTTGAACTCCACCAAGTAGTGAGTGGTCATGTACCCACTGGCCTGCGTGCCCAAGCAAGACAGCATCAATGTCAAAACATTATTCTGCAAATCCCCCAGGAGCCACGTGAACGCCTGCTAAAAAACAAAACAATTCACTGTAACTCATCTCGAAGAGCAAATATGTTTAAAGAAATTGTCGCCTTGCCATAGGAAAGGGACGAAAGCAGCCAAGTAGCTATAGCTAACCAGCCTGCCACGGGCCAAGTTCTACCATGCTGACCCTGCCAAGAAGGCTGGCGAGACAGGGGCTTGTCTCACGTAAAAGGAGGCAACAAGTAATTTCATGAAGCATAATTGTTCTTAGGTATGTACAGAGACCTCTAAAATAAGAAAGCTGCATTAGATCCCATTTCTATTTTTAGGCACTCAAATGGGCCTGTGAATCTGAGGAACCAGCGCTCAAGAGCCTCCTCCTCAGGAGAAGGGTCCTGGGTTCCCATCAGCTCTGAAAATTTGCCATGATTTTTATTTAATGCTTGATTTTGATGGGAGCGAAGTGCCTAAAAATTAAATAAAATCTCAGCCTCTGACTCCTAAGTTATTTCCGCAGTTCTGCATCGCTCGCCCCGGATGACCAAACTGGCCAACTCCATCTGGGTGACATTTGATGGAGCACACGGAGGGTGTGGGAGCAGCAAGTGTCACCGAAACGCAAAGCGGCCAGTAGCGGCCCCAGCTCAAAGGACACTTGTTCGGGTGAGCCAGGCTCTCCCTGCCAGCGCAGTCCATCACCCCATGCTCCTGCATCCTCCTCCAGCCTTCAGCTCTCTGGTCCTCGGGAGCTGTGACCAACACAGGCTACAGCCACAAATTCAGGTCGTTATTTTATTTTTAAGATACCTTGCAGCTGCAAAACGCGCCTTTGAACTTGGGAGACAGCTGATTGTGTCTCTGAAAAATCACTTTAAAAGAGCATAGGAGGAGCCTTCCTGCAGGCTATAGCATCATAACTATCAAAATATTTTGGCTAAGCATTATGAAACACACAAAGAATGTCTTGTTACCAGGATATAAAGGTTTCCATTGATACGTTCTGCCGTTATACACATGGGAGTTAAATGATGAACACTGCTCCTCTCGAAAGCTCCTTCCGTTCGCAGGGCACTCCTAGAATGGGATACATTAATATCCTGATGAAAACAAAATGTGGGAAAGGTTTCTGGCACATCCCAACTGGCTGCAAGGAGCTTTTCCATCGCCTGCCTCGTCTAGAGCCACATCCTCCTCCTCCTCCTCCCACTGCAGGGACAGGCCTTGGAAACCCCCCCCAGGAGATGGTGCAAGTACCACCCTCTGGGTTTTATGGCCCCCAGCACAGGCAAAAGGCCCAAAGCCCCAACACAATGGTGATGGGCACCAAAGAAGAGAACTCCAGTTGCTTGGAGAGGAAATGGGCTGACAGCTACAGGACAAACAGTGTCCCCTCTCTGAGGGGCCCAGAAATGCCATCACACGAAGCAGGCATGACTTTCCACATGTTGTATTGAGTGTTCCCAATGAGAAAAAGGATATCCTTACTTGTACTTTGCAGAGCTGGTATCTTTTGGATGTTCCAGTGCAAGTTTTATTAGCCAGCCCACTCACTGACTTTCTTCTGAATAAAGAAATGATGGTTAGACAGCGGTTAGAAACTCTTCCTTCCCTTTTTTTAAATTTATTTGTCCCCTGCTTCTGCAAGATTGGTCTTCTGCAGAGCCACACAGAGATCTATCACGGTCTCACTGATATTGATAGCAAAGATCTCTCTGGCTTTGTTACCCGCAGCATCAACTGTTCTTATTACAGCATCCCAGGAGGCGCCTTCTGACAACAACACAGCCCGGAGAGGGCAGAGCCGTGCACAGAGCAGTTGGGATCAGCGGGTCCCCAACCAACCCTGCTCCCACGGTGTCCTCGCTGCTGCACCCAGAAGCCTTGAGAACGGGCTTACACTCTGTCTGCTGCCCACCTGCACTAATCCCCCCAGGAGAAACTTCAGGACCAGCACAGGAATAGCTTGGCTGGTCCTCCTGGCAGGGAAGACCAGGGCACAGCATCCTCATGGCAGCACGCTCAGGGACATGCTTACCTTCTGCACAAGCAGGGTTTGCCAGACAACGCCTTTTCACCAGTGCTTATCTACTGGGCGACGACCTTCTGGATCCAGCCTACCTGCACCAAGCTGGAGCTCCCCATGCCCTGGCAAGGCAGGTGCCATACCTCTGCCGCAGGCAGTGCCTCTCCTGGGACTTGACGCCTCCCCCACAGGTCCTGGTACATGCTGTCCACTTGGTCCACTCGCCCCACCAGTACGCGGTGACGTCTGCCCCTTCCTCCAGGCTGTTAGAGGTCTGCGTCAGGTCCTGCTTGAAGCATCGGGCAGGTGGAGGAGAGAAGCAGCATCCCTCACCCAGCCTGCCCTGAGCCAACGGGGCACTTCCTTCTCCATCTGAGGTCAAGTCTGATATTTCCCATCTTGCAAGAAACCCTGCATTGTTCTAATTGTGTTTTCATTACAAGTTGCAATGAGACAGCAATATTGGGGATTCCTCAGGAAAGGAAATATTCATTGTTTCACTCAGTTGGCAAAACCAAGCTCCCAAACAACCCTAAACCCTCCAAGTCTTTCAGTGCTATCTGACTCTTGCTCCATGGTGAATTCAGGAAGCTGAAGAGCTGGTTGCAGCCAAAAGCTTCACTTAAGGCTTAAGCAAACCCTTGCAAAACC